TCATGAATTGCTTCTAGACAGATTAAGGTCGTGTGGTGTCGGAGGATCGTTACATCGATGGATCCATGAATTTCTCGTTGGAAGAAAGGGGAGGGTACAGGTGGACGGGCATCTAACCGATTGGTATCCCTCGACCAGTGGTGTACCTCAAGGTACGGTACTGGGACCTACTCTGTTTCTCATCCATATCAACGAGCTGCCCCAGCTTCTATGGTCGCCGTGTGCACTGTTTGCAGATGACCTCAAAATTTGGCGAGAAATTAGTACTCTTGATGACTGTGACATTCTCCAACAAGACCTCGACCGCCTCGCAGTATGGTCTGCTAAAGTCCACCTACCGGTCAACCCGGCAAAGTCCCTATTCATGAATCTCGGGAAGGCTGTTCACGGACGAACGTACACCTTAGACGGCCAACCACTGCATCCCACACCTTCCGTGAAAGACCTAGGTGAACTCTCACGTTGCGACTTGAAGTCCGTCGACAACACCACCAAACGAACAACTAGATACGCAATAGTTCTAAAAACATCTAGATATAAAAAGTGAAATAACTGTGGAGATAGACTTAACATCTTTCAACTAAACGATTCGGACGAAACGGTAGAGCCTTTCAGAGGTTAAGAAGGAGGTGCAATTTTTTCAGGTCACCGACGTTGAAGTTATAGGGAGTAGATGCCGCGACGGTGTGACCTAAATGCTATGCAATGAAGTAGTTTGGGGAACTGAATGGTTTGAGGAGAAATTTACCGCATCTAAACTCAATCAGACAGCAATGGCACTCCCAGAAAAGCGCTGTGCGGCTGTTTCATCCTTTCAGGAATCATCAGCAGTGCGCATTCTATCTGACTCTTGCAGGGCCCGAGCCTGCAATTCGATTATTGAGACCACGGAGCTACGGCGGACGGCAACGACCGTCGAAAGTTACGGGATGTGATATAGCGCCACTTACTATCCACTGACCTGCATGTTACTGCTGTGCAGATGACAGGTTAGCCCCGTCACCAAGCGACAAAATTATGACATTACATGCATTTCGGTCTGAGTCATCATGATCATCATATTATCATTAAGGGAGCCTACACCATGTTGGTCGCACAGATGAAGCTCATCAGAGGACAATTTTCCGACTTGGGCGTTTAGATCGCCAGCCAACACCACAGTATCCGTGCTTCTTCTGTAACGAAGGAGCTCGTGAAGTTGCCGATAGAAATCATCTTTTACAGAATCAGTGCTACAGTTTGTAGGGGCTTAGGCCGCGCGACTTCGTAGCATGGAACAAACCAGCTAATCTAACGGCGCACATCCTACTGTTTACTGGTATCCAATCGATCAATGCAGCTTCAGCCCGGGGACTCAAAACAATGCCGACGTCAGCTTGACCGGCATTTGAAGCTGCATCATCGCCAGACAGGCGCAATGAGAATGTGCCGCCAGTGTCGCATGTGGGGGATCTCAGGGTAAGTACGGAGCTTGAACCTTGCAGGCGGGTTTCTGATAAACAGCAAATATCGATCGATAGGGTCTCTAGTGTGCGGGCAAGTGCTGCCTGTTGGCCAATCTGCAGCAAAGTGCGCACGTTGTGGCATGCCAGTCTTAGCGAGACACGAGGACTCCAAAGGGAAACGGATGAACTGACGTTGTCCACTTGGTTGAACATGGACTTGTCGACTGGATTGGAGCGAGGCCCTGCGATTGTGTGTGACTTGAAAGTAGAAGACAAGCGACTATTGAAGTAAGCTGGGGGAGGGCCAAGAATTGGGGGATTGAAAATGGGGGGATATAAGTAGAGTTGGAGCGGGACGGTAAGGATGAAGAAGCTCAAGAAGGGGCATAAGAGGACGGGAAGGCCTGAGCAGTAGCATCCATACCCCTATCCACCCTGCTTGATGCAGCAGATAGGGCGCTGTTTATTATCCTCTGCGACGGCCAGAGCATCAAGAAATTATTGTAGGAAAGGTTCAATGTATTGCGTGGACAGAAGACTGTCAGGTTGCCCAGGCCTAGACAGCAGAACGATTAGAGTCCTCAACCAAAGCCTTTGGTTCAAAAATCTTATCGCAAGGCAGCGGGTTTTGGCACTGAACTACAGATCCCGTTTTATGAAATGAGGAGCCACCCCCATTCCAACCCCCAACCTGGAGGACCTGGAGGCTGAGTTTGTCAGGCCTCTAACCATTGACCAATCTGGTATGAGTGGCTCTGAAGGTGCAAAAAAAGCACCACCCAGCATAACTCAATAGATCTCTGAGGCACGCAAACCATCGCACCACGGTAAGGTCCAGCCTCATTGCGATGGTCGTCCCTCGGTAGGCGCAGGCGTCCTGTGGCTGGCCACAGTGACTGGCAAATCCGAAACCAGATGCGGCCAACCATGTTCCGCATTTGTGCTTCACTCTGAGGTTGACGCTTCTTCACCTCAGTTGGGTTAGACCAATTTACACACAAACTGGATACCCCTAATATGGATAGAAAGTTCTACTTTATTTGTTTTGCCCAGTCCCTTTATTCTAGTGCATATTCCTCGCCAAGGTTGCGTACTCATATTTCTTAAAATTCTTTGTTGGCTGCGCTTGCTGCGTATGTTCACAAGGTGCCTACCCGTCTAACGCCCTCCACCTTCGTGACTTGCTCCATGAGACTAAATCGTTGCTGGGGGACAGGGTGCACGGTCCTCGTGGCCGTGCTAGGCTCAAAGAGTTCTTCCATGCACTCAATGTGGAGCGGACTACGGCTCAGCCACCGCATTGCGTACCTCTCGTATGCTTGGTTTCCTACATAGATACACATGAATGCTGCTACTGTGCATGTTGGAGTGTGGGATAGAGTGCGTTGATGAAACGTGACTTCCATCCTCATGCCTTCCCGTCTTATTCCTACCCGGTTTACACTGGATATGGAGCGTGGTTGGAGCTGTGTGTGGTGCAATGCAAGTCACCCATGGTCCTTCTATATGCGCAGACGTCCTGTGGCTGTCCTATGGAGGCCACAGTGACAGGCGAAACTGGACACGGATGCCACCAGTCCATGTCACACAGCTGCGGCCACAGCCAATCGCAGGTGATATTGGTGTGTTTGCACCAATCTGACCAGGGGCTTGAGGCTGGCGGGATAAACAAAATTCATCACATCATCTATACCGTTCAATTCCCCTTACTACTTCCTTATAATCAGCACTCAGACCGAAAACCGCGTGTGCAACGAGCGTGTTCGACGCTTTGTTTATGGCACAGGAAAAGGAAATGAACCGCTCAGCACCGTTATTTCACGCATCAGGCTCCGATGGCTCGGCCACGTGTTACGCATGCCAGCCCACTGACTCCCGCGACGTGCGTTGTTTGCGCGCCGGAGGTGTGGATGGAAGAAGAGGAGGGGTGGCCAAGCGATGAATTAGTCGAGAGGAATGAAGGCCCTCACTTCTGAGCTGGCCTCGGTTGGAACGTCTCAGCTCCCTGGTTGGGGTCCGAAAGACGATGAACACGTTTGGTTGGACACATTTGCTTATATGGCTAGGAGCCGACCTCATTGGCGTTCGTCCTGAGTTTCTTTATCCCACCCATTCCTCTTAGCCTCCCCCTCCAACCACGATCTCATTATTTAGCATTTTGTAATTTTGCATAGTAATGTTTTTCGATGCACAGTAGTCGGCTGGTAGCTTACCGAAACGATGCCCATCCGTTACCGGTAGCTCAGCCTGCTTGCACCAGTTGCATTTTATTCCATTTTTTTCTTTTAGGTATTGCTGCGGCACAGTAGCTGAGGTGTTCCCCACCTCTAGCTAACGTGTATGATGATGATCATGATGACTCAGACCGAAATGCATGTAATGTCATAATTTTGTCGCTTGGTGACGGGGCTAACCTGTCATCTGCACAGCAGTAACATGCAGGTCAGTGGATAGTAAGTGGCGCTATATCACATCCCGTAACTTTCGACGGTCGTTGCCGTCCGCCGTAGCTCCGTGGTCTCAATAATCGAATTGCAGGCTCGGGCCCTGCAAGAGTCAGATAGAATGCGCACTGCTGATGATTCCTGAAAGGATGAAACAGCCGCACAGCGCTTTTCTGGGAGTGCCATTGCTGTCTGATTGAGTTTAGATGCGGTAAATTTCTCCTCAAACCATTCAGTTCCCCAAACTACTTCATTGCATAGCGTTTAGGTCACACCGTCGCGGCATCTACTCCCTATACTTCAACGTCGGTGACCTGAAAAAATTGCACCTCCTTCTTAACCTCTGAAAGGCTCTACCGTGTCGTCCGAATCGTTTAGTTGAAAGATGTTAAGTCTATCTCCACAGTTATTTCACTTTTTATATCTAGATGTTTTTAGAACCATTGCGTATGTAGTTGTTCGTTAAACCCCTTTTTCCGTAATCAGAACCGGGCATTCAAGCATTCCGTGTGGTTGCGAGTGGTTTTGACTCGCAACACTTATTTTCTGTTGCAGCCAAGTGACTCGTGCCCTTGTTCTCTTTATGTGGGGTTGTTGCGATGTTCAGTAACTCTGGACTACTCCATTACACTATGATTACCTCCGCGAATCTTTTAACCTTGCTTGGTGTTTACCCACATCCGAATACCAAATACTTCGTTACGGGTGTCAGCATGTTTTGGTCTCTGGCATGTCCCATTTGATCTTTATCTTTCGATTACCCTCCATGTGTGAGTTATTTCATACCTTCTATTTGTGTTAACTGGTGAATTTTCGCTGTACCTATACTTAAGCGGTGTCACTGCCTCTTTCATTGTAACGCCATTCTTCCTGACAACCAGTATGTAGAACCGTTTCATCGATTGCGAACTGGAATCCCTACACCCATCCTTTTGTCCATGATCTTAGTACTACCGATGCTGCTTTTTGCTTCTGATTTCGTCGGAACTGGTGAGGTTCTGTGCGTACCATAGGGCACAAACCATTTCCCCACCGTCATTCCAGTTTTGCACCTTACAAAAGCTGATGTTTGTGCTTTTTAAACGAATAACCGCGGTTCTCTTCGGTTTCAGCATTCTTCCGCTAGGGCCGGTAGCAGGCGAAACTTCGTCATGCCTCGGCTTGATCGTCAAGTTGGTGGGTATCGGGTTTTCATTGGCGGTGTTGACCCGCGAGTTGGAAAAGTCGACATCGAACGGGAGTTTGACAGGTTTGGACCTATTGCTGACGTTTGGGTGGCTCGGAATCCCCCGGGGTTTGCATTTATCGTATTCAAGTACTCCGAGGATGCCGACCGTGCAGTGCGAAGAATGGATGGAAGGTAACCGCTTTTTTACATCCTCACGTTCCTCAGCCGTCCTTTTGGTTCTAGGTTGAGAGTGGAACACGCTGTGAATACATCAAAAAGCAACGGCAGGTACGCCTACTCTTCTAGTCGTTGCTGTTACCATACTTATTTGCTTCATATTTGTCTTGTATTAACGACCGTCATGCTGATATTCTTGTTTTTGAGCTTATCTACTGTTCAAACTGTAGCAGTTTTTCCCACATTGCCCGTGGCGCACTTCATCCTGGCCGCAACCACCCTAATTCTGAAGCCACTTGACTTTCCCAATATATCGGAACAAGAAGACCCCGAACTACGTTATCTTCCGAGAGAGGCTACTCGTTACCGAGTGGTTTTCACCGTTAAACAAAAGCGGTTCCTTTGCGTATGTAATATTCAGATTAGTTAGATAAGTATTATCACTTTACCGACCTGTGGTGACCGTGAACCCCCGATGGTAAGTGTTCAGATGTTAGCTCAGTTTTTTCCATCTGGTCTCTAAATCGGTGATTTAACCGAGCTTCCTGCACTTCTCCCCACATCCAAGACTGCCGCACGGCAGAAGATCTATTCGAGACCTGCTCACCTTCGGCTACGCCATCCCGCTAATAAATCTCTAAGCTCGTCTGCCTTCACCGTCAGTTACTCTTCTGCTATGCTTCCGTTCAACCTCCAACCGTATCCCTACATCTGCCCGGAGTTTGCCACGCCTTCGCGTCCCCGACTCTAATCACCTCAACTCCAGGGCTGTTTTCAAATGCTTTGATATGCACCACGAAATCGTCGGTAAACCAACACCTATCCATTATTCTCCTTAAACCCACAGTAAGTCGAACATTCTAGTCAAGGTGCAACTTTTGATGGCGTGCTCCTCTGATTACTGGTTGCGGTGTTTTTTTTATACGAACTGCATGAATATCCCACTCATTTTTAGCAACCGCCGGTGGCAAATTCGTTTCTGATTGACCTCTTGTGTGATCCGACTCCATGGAACTGGGATACCAAACCGGGATCATTCTCAGTAGCCAGTTCTCTAGGATCATTCTGCACAAGCAACTCATGGCGACCCACGTTATAAACTCAGGTCCAATCATTCACTCAAATGCGACCATTTCGCTTCATCAAGCGGGATTCCGCCTTCCGATCGTTTCCACATCTCGCTTTTATGTGTTCAAACTCTAGAAATGATGAAATACCGGTCTATTAGTTGCAGTCATCACCTCATTGAATTTTCGTCGGTTGCTCCCTTCGCTGATTCGCCGGTTGTGGCTTCTTTACTCTGCGCAATGAAAAAAGCGCTATTTTTCTATCGAACGGGTAGCCTTGTGCTACTGGTTGTTATGGCGGCACCGACTTCAGGAACCTCTGGCTCTACACCTTGTTGCGTTGGGTGCTTGCTCCCCTAGCGGTTCGTCCACTCTTGTGTTTGGCTCTGTATCAACCATTTTTAACCAAATATTTAAAGACACCGCTCCGTATGCTAAGCTGCTGCTTCCATTCCTATTTTTATCTTAGAAGGATTCGGGCCGTGTCAAGATGGGAATTTCATGTGTATGACTCCACTACTTTGGCTTCACTGCTGTTGGACTTCGGATTGTCGGTGCAGCTATTGCTCAGGGGCTCAAAGCTAGTGCCTCGACCAAGTGATCATTTTCCCTGCTTACTGGGGATGCATGTATCTGCGAGGTTTATACAGCTTTCATTTAGCGCTTTCTGGGCCATTCCTGTGCGCTTGAGTGCGATCCTCCGTTTTACATTCGTTTACTTTTTCACTCACCTTTTGGACCAATGCTTCCGGGTTAAAATGTGCCACTGTGATGGCTGTGGTCTGGTCTGTTTCCCACTTGCATTTGGATACGTAAGCAGGTTACTTAAAGGTAGATTTTCCTTCCGTTTGCCAGTTGCACTGGTCATACTGTGTGTAACTGTCTTTCCCTAGATCATTTTTATGGTTATCTCCTTACTATGCTTTTTTTCGCTAATCATATGGCTAAGCTGCTGGTACTGCACACTATGGACCAGCCGACTTTCCATATCAAAAGACCTGGCAGAAGCGACAGCGCCCGGCAAATAAAGGGGTCGAATAATTACCTCATAAGAAGATGAGCTAACAACTACTAGATGCCTGAAAATGTACTTGTTGATTTCGGAAAGCGTGCGCTTACGGGAATCCGTCAAAACGGGTCACTGACATCATTGGGCTTCAAGGTGAAATGTAATCAGTCTGATCAATAAGCTTTAGGCTGCGCTCAGCGAAACTTATTTGGGTTACTAGCGAGAGGACCGGCTCCGAAGACTGCTATTAACAGGCTTCCTTGACACATATTACCAGATTTCTCGGCTGTCTTGTTGGTTAACCGAAATCCGAACAATCTCGCTTTTCGTAGTCGCTTTGCGATAAATGCATTTACTGCAGTTCGTGCAATGGTTACCATTTTGTTTACCCTACTTGTCAACACTCTATTACGCTCATACACCATTTCCAAAGAACCTTTTGCTTTATCCAAATGTAGACGGCGGTTTTCTTGCTCTCTTTCTCTCTACCATAGATCCTCAATGAGTGCGTTACACACTTTCCAAAAGTAATTCATTTTCCTTGAGCTGTTTAATTTTGTTTTCTCCACCAGTCGTCAGGGTCGTTCTCGATCAAGATCTAGAGACAGACGCCGTAGAGAATCACCGAAGAGATACTCGCGATCGCGTCGCTCGTCTTCAAGGCGCCGGAGGTAGGTCTCCACACTTTTTTGCTTATCCCCTAGGTCTCTCAGCGATCGTCGAAGAGATCGACGTCGGTCTGGGTCCCGTTCTTACGCCAAGCCCAGGTCCAACGAAGTGAAACGAAAGCGCTCGCCAACGCGCTCGCCGTCTGTTCGGCGAAAGACTCCGAAGGTGGATCATCGTAAAGAGCGATCCAAGTCCCCCCGCCGATCAGGTCGGTCTTCTGACATTCGTCGAAACAACACATCCCGACGATCACGGTCGCGCTCAAAGCATTCCGCTAAGGAGACCAGCCGACGAAGTCCTTCCACTCGTCACCGGACGCCTGCAAACCACGAACCATCCATTTCCCCGTCTCCCGTCAAAGCGCGTCATCAAAGCCGGTCCGCTTCCCGCTCTCCCCATTCTGATACTGAACGCCAAGATTCTTACCGTGATGACGAAAGCCAACACCGCGATCATGACTCAAGATCTCGTTCCGCTTCACCCATCGAGGAACCCAGATCACGCTCTAGGTCGCATTCATCCAATTATCGTGATGGAAGTGTCCCAACTGACCGGTCTCCTTGAAGCATAAGGTAATTTCGTGATTATTTTTCGGTTAGAGCATCTATTTTTCTCAACCATAGTTTTACTCATCTTGATACATTTCACAGCATTTTTCAGCATATCGAACAGTTGGACTAATTGCTACCGGTACCCTCCGTTTTTATCCTACTTCTGTCGTCTACGAATATCTTTCGCAATTCTTTTCGATCCAGTTTTTCTACTCTTGATCATTCCTATAAACGTGCAGACTCTCTGCACTTAGACCAGCCGCCTTGTACTAATGCATGCCCATTTATGGTCTCTGCTCACATAGTACCAACTGCCGGTACCTTCAAGATTAACAGCTTGTGGGTCGCTTCCGCGTTTTCCACCCGTTTTTCTCCGATTCACTTGATCTCTACTTTGTGGCGTTCGCAGACAGGATTGCTGGTTCGGTATTCATCCCGGATGATTATCTAACTAATTCAGATTCCTTACAGTAGCTGACCTAACCAATGACATTGTTTACGGCGTAGACACTGGGATCTACCTCGACTTCGGACTCCAGGAGTTAGCAAGGCGTCCGTACTTTCAGCCAAGAACGTGTCGAATCAATTGTCGTTAGGCTTGGGAAGACCAACATCGTCGCTTAAGGCTGGCATATAGCTTACTGGACAACATTGCGCTTATGGGCGCAGCGGTTACGTGCTCCTTTCAGTAACGCACTTGAATCTCATCAACACCCGGGGCTAGTTGGCAGGTCTTGGTTAACGTCTACTTTTGTACTTCGACTCAATTTGCTATGATTACGCACTTGTCTAAAATGATCTACTGTCTTTTTCGTCAAAATTCGAATCAACACTGTTTTTCATTCATTTTCAGAAAGGATCAATCCATTGGTCGTTCTGTGCACTTGTATCTCTTCAAACTCTTGTTAATAAAATTTTCATTACATTTACTCTTTCATCAACTAGTTGGGGCTTTCCGACTGCGCTGCGACTGGACCATGTCTCAGCATTCCATTGAGCTATGTTGACCGGCCCCGTAGCCTAAAACTAGCATGCTTGTCTTGTAATCTGACGGCACGAGTTCGAGCCTGCGGATAGACAGAACGATCCTCGCAGTATCCTTAGCCCACGTACGGCCGCTGGTTGTTACACGGCAGCGAAGCGTCCGTACTGCTGCTGATGCTTTTGTCTGGGTGGTGATTTTTCCACCTTCAGAACCACTCATAGCAGATTGATCAGTGGTTAGAAGCCCAGCAAACTCAGGCGCTTGGCCCTCCTTATTTCTCTAGATTGACTCCCTGTGGCAGTGTCAGATCCCCGCTGATTTGCGGTCAGGATTTTGAATTTAACAGTGTACCTCTCGCGCAGTATTACGAAACCTTCATACCATTTCTCTATATTTTGACAATCGTAGAGAGTAGTCAGCAGCGACTTGTATGCTGCACCTAGCGGGCTGAGTAGGATTGGAGGTGCTACTGCTAGTCACAGCAAAAGTACGGATACTGTAGTGATATGAGCGGGTAAGTTGGACAATAGCCCATTGCTGAGTTGCGTTTAGGAGGCCAATGTGGCGTAGGCTGCTGTATCAATAACAATGACAGTTTCAACCGGCCATGGACACAAATCTATCACATCGCGAACAGTTACAGTAGGAGAGGCTGCGTTCGCAACTTGCTCAATTTAGCGCTTAAGCTTCTACTTCGACCACGCACTCGTATGTGCTTGTTTTCGGTTGCGTTTGTGACTGGAGTCAGATACAACAAGGATCGCCTTATCTTTGCACGATTGTCATTTGTTTGTGACGGGATGTTGGTAACACAAGGTATAGGCGCCTTGACCCTAAATGTGTGTTTAGGGCATTAAGGCTTTCAGGTAAGTCCCCCTTCTCTCTTATTATTCTTTATTCCATAGGTCACCATAGTTTTTGGCAGCGAAGCATCAGTTCAGATGGCTTATGTACTGTTGTTGTTGGTGGTGGTGGTGATGATGATGATTAATGCTAAGGTATGGGATCAAATTTCGCATCGCCTTTAGGAAGGATCACGAAACCTACTGGTCTCATCGTTCGTGGGAGATGGAAACGGCTACTGCTATTGTTAGCCGTTGGAAGATATTTTGTATCACATAGGAAGTGGAAGAAGACAACTTGTTACCACGAGTATGTGACGCGAGGGGATAGTACTCCCACGAGTTCTCAACGCGCTTGGAGCATTCGGTCGAAAACTTTCAAAATGAAGTTAATCATCTCAATTAGTCTGCTTCCTTTGCAGGCCAATAATTAACATGCTTTGGGCATTTTCTTTAGATCCGTCCGGCCCTCAAATTCGTGGGACCACTTGCAAATAATTCAGGGAATTTGTGCAACTCAGATCAGTAAACTGTTCCGCCGCAGTTGCTTCTTTACAGTCCCATTTTTCGTGGGAGCTTACGTTTCGACTTCGGCAGTCATACAGTTGTCTGTATGATCCCCATCCCCTCCAAATTATTTGTGATTGTCATTCTTTTAGATTAGCTAACCACGAGTCATGTTCGTTAAGAGCAAAGTGGGTTTCTTCGGAATCGGCATTACATTCATCTCACTACTTTACATCTATTGGAGCACCGACACGTATTGATTGCCCACCATAGTCGTGTCCCTTGACACCAAAGGTACATTCGATTCGGTGGATTGATGTCGCCCCATTTCGGACTGTTTACTTAGAAGAGCGCGTCCGATGACGCCTGCGGTTGCAGCCGGAACGAGATTCTTTCATATAGCTTCTCACTGCTGCGACCCAGTGTAATGATATCGTCCATATATTCTGCGGTGCCGGGTACCACAGAATTCATAGAACCCATTGGCTGTTGAAAATGACGAGCTGCTTTGACTCCGAACGGCGGACGCTTATACTTAGACAAACCGCAGTGCGTATTGACAGATAGCACTTCGCGAGACTGCGCAGATACTTCGGCTTATAAGTAGCTACTCGCCACATTTACTGCCAAGTATACTGAGGATACCTTCCGGAATCGGCAGCGGATGGCATTGATTTTCTAGCGAAGCATTTAATCCGTTGGAAAAGTTGGCACATATACGATGTGGACCACTTGCCTTTTTTGACGATAACAGTCGGAGCTGTCCATGGGGAATAACTCACCAGATGCATAATGCCTGTTTCTTCCAAGCACCGTAGTTTCTTATCTATTGCCGGAAAATTAGGGTAGGACACTGGTCGCGTTAAGCAAACCCATGGAGCATAATCGGGCTCTAACTGGGGAATTGCTTGAAATACATCGGGAAAGTCACGGGTGACGGATGACGTTCAGTTGGAAAGCGGCAAGACCCAAATTGTCTATCCCCTCCAAGGTGATTGAGATCGGAATCAGAAAAGCCGACCAGTTAGGCGAACCAAATTGCCACAAGCACTCTTTGCTTCTTGGGTGGTAGGTTGAACAGGTGGAAGTTCATATTTCCTGAGAGATTGTCGTGATGTCAGACGCGGTGTTTAGTTGAAGTTTGGCCACACGCCCGTTGCTTGTTACGGATACGAGTTTACAGTGAGAAGCGACGTCCAGTTTGAACGTAGTTAGGAGGCTACGGGAGTGTGCGGCCTGAGTAGGACGTCTTGGTAGCTCCTTCGGTCTCTTGGGCTTCCCAAAACTGTACCGGTTCTGACAAAATCTGACTTTATGGCCAACTTCTTCCACAGCTGACATCGGTGGTACCTGGACGAAGGAAATGTTATTCACGGCAGTACCAACACGGTGATGGAGGTGTCTTATTGAAGAAACGGGGTAGGCAACTGGTGCATTCGAAACATTTGGGGCGTCGAGAGACTGAATGGAACCGAAAGGGTCATCAGTGTTTTAAGCGATGGCTGTATCGTGTTTCAAATCAGTCAGGCACTGGCATTCCATAGTGACGCTACAGCGTCATTTGATGGTCCTATTCGATTTTACTTAGCAATCGCGTACTTATATCGGCATCCTTTGGTGACTGAAGACCGCATATGAACACGAAGTATTTAAACTGATCTTCCGTGAAAGCGCGTAGTTCGGTCCGTTCAGATTCGAGGTCCGTCACGTTCCACAACTTTGAGACAGTGGTAACGTATATTGAAATGGGATGACTGCTCACTGAACATTTGTGTATGCGTTTGCACTGTCTCGTCGGATGACCGGTCGCTTGGGTTCTGTGGTAAGATGAGATTGGAATATTTGTCGTCGAGCTTAAAGATCGGAAAGCGCACTCTCCATGCGCCGTCACAATTAGCAAACTAAACAAGGAATAAGTTTTCGTGCAATTTGAACCGGATTCTAATGTTATGTTAGCTGCAGCGTAGAACAAAATTTCGGTGGTGCTGTTGGCAGCTTGTTCATTTGACAACGAAGTTGTCCTACCCAGGACACAGACATGTTTTCGGTAATCAACTCCATCAGCCTCAACTGCCGCTGCAGGATGAACTTGATATAGGCACTGTCGATCATCATCAACAGCATTACATCAGTCATTTGAACTGATGTTTCGCTGCCGTACAATCACGCTGACTTAAGGAACGGAGAGAGAGAAGAGGAATCTTAGTGCCCTAAGCACAAATTCGGGGTCAAGGCTCCCACACCTTATCAACAATGTACCATAGAAAGCAGCTGACTATTGTGCGCAGATGAGGCAACATCGGCGAGACAACTTCGTTGCGACCTACACTGCTTTGCGTCATAATCAGCCATTACCCCGCAGATAACTCAACACCGAACACAATTTAAACAGATAATCCGACTAGGAAACGACAGCAGACGCGCCACTGGTACCGACTGCGAGCTATGTCCTGTAAAATCTCCAGATAAGCACAAGCGGGTCACTTGGACTCCATCCTGTAAGGGGAGACGGACTAACAGCACCAAGTTTGGTAGTCAGTGACCTCATTGGCGGGGCCTTCAAATTTGGCCGTGCTCTGCAATTCCTCTCTTGGGAGTTTATCAACACGTTCTCACTCACATCTTACGTTTTGCTCTATCGGTTCTTGTTTTAATTCATCACTCGTCCCGCGATGCAAATCTACTCACGCAATATTTTAAAACCGCTACGTTTTTCTACGCTCGTTACCCGTGCATTTTCGAACGGTCCTGTCATTAAAAACAAACTGAATCGAGTTCATTAGAAGCATAACAATTATGTTAGAAAACGTCGTTCTGGATGGAGAGTTGCTCTTCGAAGTATAAAATTGAGAGATCTGAACGTCCCAGTATTGGTTAGCACAAACATCCGCTCGCTCAGGGGACAATTAAATAAACTATCAAACATCGCGTTCTGAATAGAGTTCACAGTTTGGAATCATTATGTTGCAAGAAACATGGCTCCATAAAGAAGTGGATGATGCAGTCGAATCCGTTGGAGAATTTATTTGCCATCTTGTTAATCGCCCATGCACATACCGACACCGAAGTGGTAAAGTACTTATTTATACCAATCCGTCTTGGTGTATTGCAACAAAACTTGTTTTTGCTTCTCCTCACACTTTATCAATTGTTTACTCTTGCAGTGTAAGCTACCGCTCATTATTGTTGGCTAACATCTACATATCTCTCAGCTGTCCCAAACCTGGAGCAGCGAGTCTTTGGTGATTCAAAGTTGAATTTAGCGAACACGCTGTGTGGTTGGGTTGCGACTCGCAACTTCTATTGAGACCTCGGTTCACTTTGAGGTAAACCTCGGTCATTCCGATCACGAGGACCGTATTGGGAGGGGCAACACCCAAATATTTCCATTCCGAGTCCATGGTGAATTTACTGCAGCTGTCATAGAACACATCGATCGTACTCTGTGCATCTGCGGCAGAGACTTCAATAGATGTGACACTACTTTTCTCATTGCTCTCGGGTTGCGAAACATCGTCAATCTGTCCACCAGGTCAAACGCAACCTTGGACCTGGTGTTTGTTAGTAATGTGAAGTGGTTCTCCGTATGTACTCGGGCTCCAATCGGTAAATTTGATCGCTCAACAATCAAGGTTTCGCCTATCATCTATAGCAAGAACAACCACCAAATCAC